TCCTTTTGACCCTGTCCCCTAGCACATACCTGCCTGTCTCTTCCTCTACCGCTCTTACAATGTGCTTCTTCCCCTCCTACTCCGGAGATCCCCCTTCCCCACAGCCTGAATTTACTTCCACTTTTCTCCTAACCCACTCACAGTCAGGGCCACCAAGAGCGGGTTCCTCAGCAAGGGTGGACCGGCTAAACAGGGCCGGGGGGGGGAACTGGGCCCCGGGCCCCCTTCCGGACCGCTGCGCCCCGGACTGGCTAAACAGGGCTGATGGGGGGGGGGGGAAGCTGGGCCCCGGGCCCCCTTCCGGACCGCTGGGCCCCAGTAATTTGTACCGGCTTCCCCCCCCCTTTTCGTCGGCCCTGCTCACAGTCTGTCTATGCCCCCCGCATTACAGTCTCTCTCTACGGGGGGGTGTTGCTGTGTGTGTTACAACCTCTTGCTAGGGGGGATTTTGCTGTGTGTGTTACAGTCTCTCGCTAGAAGGATGTATGTCAATGTGTGTTACAGTCTCTTTTTCAGGGGATGTTGCTGTGTATTACAGCCTCTCTCTTTCTGAAGGAGTGTTGCTGTGTGTGTTACCATCTCTCTCTAGGGGGTGTTGCTGTGTGTGTTACAGCCTCTCTCTCTCTCGGGGGTGTTGCTGTGCGTATTACAGCCCCCCCCCAGGGCAGGGGTCTCAAACACGCAGCCCGCGGGGTTCTTCCCTGTGGCCTGCCAAGCTCCCCGCTGCCCCCCCCCGTCCTACTCTGGCTCCGATGCACGCCCCTGCCACCCCGAAGCCGCTCCAGGTAACCGGCGCTGGGCCAGAACCCGAACCCTTCCGGTACCCTGCACCCCAACTCCCTGCCCTGAGCCTCCTGCCTGCACCCCAACCTCCTGCCACACCCCACACTCCCTCCTGCACCCCAACCCCCTGCTCTGAGCCCACTGCTGCACCCTGCCCCCCAACCCCCTGCCACACCCCTCCTGTGCCCCAACCTCCTGCCACACCCCACATTCCCTCCTGCACCCCAATGCCCTACCCTGAGCCCCCTGCTGCACCCCCCGGGCAGGGGTGGGGACAGCGGGTGATGTGGCCCTTGGGCCAACGTACGAGTCCTCATGTGGCCCTCCTGATAATTTGAGTTTGAGACCCCTGTTCTAGGGGGTGTTGCTGTGTGTTACAGTCTCTCTCTAGGGGGTGTTGCTGTGTGTTACAGTCTCTCTCTAGAGGGTGTTGCTGTGTGTTACAGTCTCTCTCTAGGGGGATGTATGTCCCGGTGTGTTTTGATCTGACAATAACTGTTCAATCCCCCGTCTAAATCCTCCCTCACACTCCTTAGCCTTCCTGTCACCCCCACGCTGCAGAGGCGCAGCCCGCTCTGGGACCAGAGCGCCGCGCGGCCGCCCAGCCACACCCGCCCCCTGCCTGAGGCGCAGCCGCAGTAGGAAGCAGGCGGCGTGGCGTTAGAAACAGCCTTCGCGGCGCAGGCGCAAGGGGATTTGGCGCCAGCGCTTGTGTGCGTTGAATGAATGTTGTGGAAGCGGCAGCGCTGAGGCAAGTGAGGGGGGCGTCCCAGGCTCGCCCGGCGTCTGCTGGGGGGGCTCGGTGGGGCTGGATGCTTCCCTGTGCGGGGCCCCGGTGGCCGCATCCCGGTTGAGAGACGGCAGTGGCCCGTCCCGCTGCGGGCAGGAGGAGATCATGGGGAGGGGCAGCGCCGGGGCCAGGGCTGCTCTTGGGCGGGGGCGGCGTTGGATTTCATTCCCTGCGAGGAGGGGACCGTCTCCCCTTCAGACACGCACAGGATGATCCCCGGGAGCTTCCATCCTTCACCCCCGTGGTGGCCGAGGGAGGGGTGGGGTGAGGGGAGGCCCGGATGACTCCCTGTCACTCTGCCTCCCTTTTGCTGCCAGTTGGAAATACTGATATTTAAAGTCGATCCCGAGCGATATTGGTAGGACAAGGGTGCGGGGCGCTGTACTAACACATGTGGGCGATGATTCCTGCTGTAGACCTCCTCCCCCCATGCCCCCGAGTGAAGGATAAACAAGGGGCACTGTGTATTATAGGAAAGTGAGGGGGGGCCAGTTATTTCCTCCCATCTGTATTACATTTGAAATACTGACTCTAAAAATCCATTCCCAGTGAAGGGGTTTCTTGTCATCCCGAGGAAGGGGACGGGGAAGAAGTGTGAGGGATGTCTGATCAGCTGTCCTTTTGTACAGGGTCACAGAGAAGCTAAGCACAAATAAAATGGGGCTCTGCATGTTATTTTTAGAGTAGGTGAATGTACATTTAACTTTACAAAGCACTTCTGAAGCAAGATTTAAGTGTCATCCCACACTGGGATTTGGCTCACTTCTGTGCCTGTGTAGACAACATATAGAATTTTTCTGAATAAAATAAAATGAAAATGCATTTTTTGAACATTGCTAACTATCATCCTTGCATCCCCCCAAAAGTAAATTTTCTATGCAGGGATTTTGAAGGCAAATTGAGGAATGACATGGTTCATTAGTGATAATGTTACAGACATATGTGGTGTAAAATAAGATCAACAGTCTTCTAACACTTATTTTACATGAGAGCGTCACATAAATGCATGTGGCAAAAATTTTCAGAGTCAAACATTTGGAAATTAAAAGGACTTCACTTTACATTTAGTAATTTAAAAGAGTTACGAGTACTTTTCACGTACTCATACTTTTGAGTTCCTTGTCCAATTTTTGTGGTTTTGTAATAACATTTTCCCGTTTTAAAAAATGTTTGTTTCCCCTGGTACTCAGAGAGACCCACATAGCTGAAATTGACAGACTAACTATCCAAAAGGAAACCATAAAATAGACCCTACTTAAAAATGCTTTCAATTGCACAAAGTAAATAAACTGAAAAATTGCTACAGTAATTTTAGCTGTTACTTGTAGCAGTAGTTTAAAAAAAAATCAACAACACAGATGTGTGTTTTTGAAATTGGCAGTCTCTCTTTAGCTTGCATTCCAATTTCAATCACATTCTTATTTGTTGGATGCGTTCGCCAGCAAAAACAGCCTTTCAGATTTCACTATGTGTATATGTCCTAATTATATACAAAGTGATATACCTTATTCATCAAGAATCATTGTGAACACTGATTCATTTAGTGTAAAACTTTACCGAAGTATTCTGTATTTTGCATGGTGTTCTCGTCTTCTGTGATAGAGTTGAGTTTTTTCCTTTCCTTGCTGTGAAAATTCACACACTGGAGATCATATTATTTTTGTCTAGGTTTTTATGCCATGCCCATTATTGTGTTGAGTGCATACATTGCAGCTATGATTCTGCCAAGTAGGACTGGATATAACTCTCTTCATAATCTATCACCACAACTAATTGGCTAGAAAGGTCATTCCCTTGGGCTAAGTGTGTGCTGCCTTACATCACTCACTGAGGAGCAAAAAAAAGGGAATAACGGGTCGGCACCACTATGTTGTGTGATGGACTCTTGACAAAATTACTGTACTTAGTGATGGACATGGCAGGGGAGGAATGTTATGTCATTCAGTCATTCAATGTTTTGAAAAATTACCACGGACTCAAAATTTTTTACCATGGACACTTGTGTCTGTGTATGGACATGTTGCTGACCCCTGATGGGAATGGAAGCCATGGACTCCTACAAGTGCCATTAGGATAGCTGAGTATCAAAGCATTTTGATATAATTTTGCAGGCTTCTTTAACAAGCATACCAGTGATGTTATGGAAAAGAAAATGGCTGACAAACCTGTGGAAAGACCAACTTTCTTTGAAATATTTAAGGCACGATGCAGTGAATCAGGTACAGCTATTATTTCATTTGATTAAAATTAATGTACTGAAAGCATGTTGTAATCAGAGGCATTTTCAGGGTGCTGTATTCTGTAGGCATTTGCAATAAACTCTATGTCCCAATGAAGAGTTGAATTTAACTTGGTTGTCTCCTTACATTCCTATGTTCTTTATGCACAAGATGTGGTTGTAATTCCAAATGGTTTTAGTAATGGCTCGAGACTAATAAATGCTCTAATATTTAAATATACTTAATGTTATCAAGGCCTTAAGTCTCTTATATGTCAATGTTAAAATTTGTTCACTTTTAAGTTGCCTCCAGCTCTAGGCTCAGAAGTGCTAATGGTCATGATTCTTTTTTCAAATATACTGTATTTTGTGATTTATTCATGTTGAGAAGGACTTCTTATTTTTTAAACTCCTATATTGCTGGTTTTAGCAAAATGGGTCCAGTTTCCCTTCTAACTGTAAAACAAACCTATTGTTTAACCACGGTTCTTCTTGGAGTATATTTCAGTGTGGATTCTACTGTAGATTCACATGTGCCACGTGCATACAAACTCAGAATTTTTTTTTAATAGTAGTATGTATCGGTGCTGTGCATGTGTCTTGTACCACCTCATGCTTCCATATGAGCGCACAAAGGGTGGAATGACTGCAACCTTCCCTCACTTCCCTTTTTTTCCCCATGGCAGTGAGATGGAACCTGGACAGTGTACACAGTTTTTAGCTTAAAACTCAACCCTTTCATGAAGAAATTGTTCACTCTCATTGTTTTCTTAATTTTTTTGGACTGGGGGAGACCTCCGATACAATCCCTTAAACCACGGAGTGAAAAATTTTGTGCCAACCACTGGCATAGCAGACTCTAAACCCACAGGGTTTAAATCATGCCCGTCATTACTGAATACAGTAAATGTCACCTGGCTACAATGGTACAGATTTACCTTGCAGCATTATGCCATGTGCCCTCTTATATTTATGTGATGCTGGTTGCCAGACTTCTCTGGAGATTGCTACAGTTCTGGCTCTGGTCAGTCTATTCCTCTGCAAAGTCACCGACAAAGAAGGCTCTAATACTCCCTTGTGTCTTCGTGGTGCTGACAGACATGTTTGCCATCAAGGACAATGCCAAGTGCTCAAACTTCTGTTCCAGAGGGGCCATGACTCTTGGATCATTGCCAGATGCCTTCCTTCTGCAGTGGTACTAATACATACTCTGGGTTAATTAATAAGTAAAAAGTGATTTTATTAAATACAGAAAGTGGGATTTAAGTGGTTCCAAGTAGTAACAGACAGAACAAAGTGAATTACCAAGCAAAATAAAACAGAACACGCAAGTCTATGTCTAATACAGTAAGAAAACTGAATACATATTAAAAACCTCACCCTCAGAGGAATTCCAGTATGCTTCCTTTTACAGACTAGTCTCCTTCTAGTCTGGGTCCAGCAATCACTCACACCCCCTGTAGTTACTGTCCTTTGTTCCAGTTTCTTTCAGGTATCTTTGAGGGTGGAGAAGCTATCTCTTTAGCCAGCTGAAGACCAAACTGGAGGGGTCTCCCACGGGCTTAAATAGACTTTCTCTTGTGGGTGGAGATTCCCTCCTCTCTCTTATGCAAAGTCCAGCTCCAAGATGGAGTTTTGAAGTCACATGGGCAAGTTACATGTCCATGCATGACTCAGTTTTTACAGGCAGCAGCCATTGTTTACACGCTACCCTGAACGTCCTCAGGTAGACTTCTTATGTGGATTGGAGCCTTCCAAGATTCATTGTCCTTTAAGTGTTTCTTGATTGGGCACTTAATTTGCACATTCCTTTCTCAAGAAGTGGGCCAAATGCTTTACTAAGGCTACTTAAAAATCAAGCAAGTACACAGCTAATATTCATAACTTGGAATACAAAAATGATACATGCATACATATAGGATGAATAGATTCAGTGGATCATAACCTTTACAGATATATGTTACATGGAACATGTAGCATAAAACATATTCCAGTTATGTCATATATACATTCATAAGCATATTTCCATAAAGCCTTATGAGGTGCACCGTCACACAGGCCATGCTCATTCTCATAGCTCCCTGCTGGCCAACGTAGTTCTTGCTGACAGACCTGTTACAGATGTCCACGTGACCACCAGTCAGTTTCTCAGATTGCCCAAACCTGTTGTCAAAGATCAGGCTCAAGTACTCCACCCAGACCCAAGGTCACTACACCAGATGGCTTGGATGCTGGCTGATTGAGCATTACAGAAAGGGATTGCTCCTTGCATGTTCAGGAAACATTGGCACAGAGCAGGAAGCTATCCACACTTTCAAATGGATAAAGTTCTTAACATTGGCGGCCCGACACGGCCAAGACCTGCTGCAGGCCCCAGTATTGAAGATTCTCGACTATTTGCTGCAGCTGAAACACTTCGGATTTTAATTTAGCTACATCAAGATCCAGCTGGGAGCACTATCAGCGTATCATCCACTGATAGTTGTTCTTAGTCTTCTCTCATTTGTTAGTATCAGAATTTCTTAAGAGTCTAATGCATGCTTAATCACTGGTTAGAGATTTAAAATTTTTATTAAAGCTAATGTTAAAAATATATATATAATATAAAGGTTGGGAAAAGAGTGTCTGTACATCTGGGTATAGTGCTTAGATTATCCACAAATATAAAGTTAGTTTTTAAAAGTCATATGATACATAGAGTACATAATCAGCAGTAACCCAAATTTAGGTGAATGGATTTAACAATACAGTTTAGATATTAGAATCCGAATACTCGGGTACGTCACTCATGAAAAGTTGTACAGAGATTTGGTTGTGGAAAGCAAAGAATATCAATGAGTGGAGATTGTCCCTCAGTAATTGAGAATTAAGTTGGTTGCCTATTTAGAAAATACAATCCATGAGGAAAGTATCTACTCCAGCATGGGACTTCAACATCCTCTTAAAACTTATGGAGCCCCTCTCCTCCCCCGGTCTGTCCCTCCTCCCCCAGCACCTATTGGAATGCTCCATCCGTTATCTTACTCTCAAAATTGCCTTTTTGTTGGTCATCACCTTGACCAGAAGAGTAAGTGAGCTTCAGGCACTCATGGCAGAACTCCCATATACTTAATGCCATAAAGACAAAGAAGTACTGAGACCTCATGTAAAATGCATTCCAAAGGTAACTTCTGAGTTCCACTTAAAATAATCAGTTAACTTTCTTGTGTTCTTCCCAAAACCACATTCCACACCAGAGGAGAAGAAGCTACATGCTATGTGATATCGACAGCAATTTTTTGACTGTCCCCACCTCTGTTTGTGGTCATAGCTGGCTGCTCCAAGAACCAAGCTGTTTCATTGCAAAGATTGCCTAAATGGCTTATGCTTTATATCTCACTGGGTTACCAGCTAGGCAATGTGCCTCTCACTCACTCTGACTATTAAGGCTAACTTCACCAGAGCACAAGCAACATCCTCTACTTGCTCCTGAAGTATACTGATATCTGAAATCTGCACGGCAGCTATATGGCTCCACCCTTTCATATTTGTCAAGCATTATGCACTGGATTTAGCTAGTAGATCAGATGGCAAGTTCGGAAGAGCAGTACTCCTATCTCTATTTGACTGATGCAGCTGTGATACTCCTACTATCTAGAGATGACACTGCTTGCCATTCACCTATAGTGGGATCCACACGTACTCAAGGAAGAAATAATGGTTGCTTAGTCCTACAGTAACTGGTTCTTCAAGGTATTGTCAGTGTGGATGCCACAACCTTTTCTCCTTCCTGTTTTCGGAGTCTCAGCTAACATGGGCTCTGAGCTGTGAGGGAGCTAAGGGAAGGTTGTGACTCCTCTGCCCTTTTTGCCCTCATAGGGCAGCACAAGGAGGCACAGCATATGTGTGCTGTCCTGGCTGAAACTGCTGTTCAAAAAAAAAAAAAAAAAAAAATAGTAAGCTCTCATGTGCATGAGGCTTATGTGCACCACAATGGGATCCACACAGACTACAACATCTTGAAGAGTCACAGTTACTGAAGGGTAACTGTTCTTTTGGTAAAAAGCCACAGTAGTAGTTTTGTCAACATTCTTTGATTGTTTTGTCAACATCAAAATTGAAAGGAGTACTATAATATAAAAGTATATGGTTAGAGGAGTGTTGTTGGGTTTTATAACAGGCTGGTTTAAATGTCCAGTATATCTCTGGTATTGTATAATGTCCTTCGTGAAACATTAAACTGATTTGAATTCAGACAACAATTTATCATAAAGTTAGGGTTCCTCAAAAAAAAAAAAAAAAAAATAAAGGCTAGGTTAAATTACATATAAAAATAATGTGATATTTTTCTTTATAGACTTAGGACCGATAAGTCTCAACTGGTTTGAGGAACTCAGCACAGAAGCGCCACCCTATGAATCTGAAACATCAGAGAAACCTGAATACAGAGCTGGCTGGCTTGATCAAAGTGCTACTAAAACTCCAAGGGGGAAACCCTCTACATATAGCCAGTTGGCATCAACTCCAATGATTTTCAAAGAACAGAGTGTAACATTGCCACTTTTGTCTTCTCCGATAAAAGAACTGGGTCAGAAGAAAATAGAAGCAGGTGAGTAACTGGGTTTGTCTGAAGTAAAAGTGTGCTTATAGCTTCCCACAGCCCCCTAAAACAGAGACTTTATATTTCATTATTATAGTTTCCCATTAGTACTGCAATAAATAATGCTATCACAGACATTAAATACGAAAAAGACATACAGTACTAGGCCCTCTAATTCACCCTGTATAAGTGCAGAATTGTTCATTACAATGAATTCACTCTTGCAGTGAGCTCTGTATGGCTCCATGCACACACAACTCACTGCAGGATTGGGTGTGATATCTTTTCCAGTGCTTTAACCACCCTTTATATCAGCAGAACGTAAGCTTGGAGTTACTAGTTGCCAAATGTAGGGAGAGCCCAGGAATGAATTTTGCTTATCCTATTTTTTTAAAAAGTAAAACTAGTGTATATTTAATGTATATACATGCATCCAACGAAGTGGGTATTCACCCACAAAAGCTCATGCTCCAATATGTCTGTTAGTCTATAAGGTGCCACAGGACTCTTTGCTGCATTTAATGTATAAACATTCTAAAAGGTTAGTTTGCTGGTTTGGGATAAATAGAAAATGGCTGTTGCCAATTTGAGGTCCAGTGCAGTCCTAAGGGCACACACTGAACTTTCGAATCAAGATGTGTAAGTTGTAAGGTATATAGATGTAAGTTTGTTGTTAATTTAATACGATTGTAAGCTATGGAGTGTGGCCATACTGGTGAATAAAATCTTCAATATGAAAAGAGAAGGTTCTTTCCCTTTTCAGGTAGCATTTCACTTAAGACTGTACCTCATTATATACTTTGAGGAAGACGCTAATTTTCACTCTAGTTTTGACGTATCTAGAAGTTCTAGCATCTATGCCTCTTGGACCAGAATTAGATGAACTATAAAAATGTTTTCTGCATAGGTATTTCTGATGCAGCCATTGCTACTATATCTGATTTGTACATTTACTGTAAATTTGTGTCCTTCCTTTCAATATTGGCTTCTGCTGAAGCTGGATCTCTTGACATATATCAGAGGCATACCTAGATTCTACAATAAAGCCTTTAAAGATGTTCAGCAAGTCAGAATAGTATTGCAAAAGATGTAAATCAGGGCAGTTTATGGGCCTCCCATTTTAAAAAGATTGTTTGAGTTGTTTTGTATTTCAGTGCTTTAGAATAAATTTGTGTAATGGTTCGAGGATATATCTTAGTATCATGGCCAGATTTTGAACCCCTACTCTCACTGATGAGCAGTTATTTCTACAAGTAGTCTCATCAGAGTCAATGGGAAAACTCATATGAGTAATTGCTCACCATCTAAGAGGTTCACAGTTTAACCCATAAGGTTCCAATGGCCAGGGTGGAAATGCTCTTCTTCATTTACTAATTCTTGACAATTAACTGTTCATGAGACACTTGTAATACAAATAGGTACTGTCTGGCACTGTACATAAAACCAAAAATATTTCTTCTTTATGCTAGCTCATTCAATCCAAGAAATTTATTTCTTGTGCAGACGTGGGAGAATGCTGGTACAATATATCTGTGAAGGAGCTTTATGGCCTGCAAAAATCATTTCTCCTGTAGTAACAGGAAATGCAGTGACATTGCACATTGACTGCTTTGCCTAGCTGACATAATCTGTAGTGAAGATAAATACAGACTAAATTTAATAAATATTTTTTAAAAAGAATGAGGCTTATTAAATGAACTTAACTGAAGTTCTGAGCATGTATTTGAAATATTCTTGGTATTGTCATTTTGACTAGAATTTGTGAACATATTCCAGCTTGATCAAAAGGATCATTATTAGAAATGTAAGGAACATTGAACAATGTTTCTTTTTAAAAACTAAGGCTTAGTTAAGCACATTTTAAAAGGTAAGTTTATTTTTAAATTTCATAATAAAAATAGTTATATGCAGGATCTGGTTAACTATTGTACTGTATATACTATACATTGCAGGCAAAGTCAATTTGGTTAACAAAGAACATAGAACAAGTCCACATGTTATGAAGACAAAATTTGATCAAACAGATGAAATATTTTCACCTCTCAATACCTCCCTCAATGTAAGGTATGTTATGGATGTTAACACTTTTTAAAATGACTTAATATATTTGACTTAATATACACCTCTACCTCAATATAACACTATCCTCGGGAGCCAAAAAAGCTTACCGCATTATATCGAACTTGCTTTGATCCGCTGGAGTGCGCAGCCCCGCCCTCCCAGAGCACTGCTTTACCACGTTATATCCGAATTTGTGTTATATCGGGTCACATTATATCGGGGTAGAGGTGTATTTTATAGGAAGGTTATATTTAAATTCAAATTATATTATAAAAACTTTTGGCTAGCACAGGGGTGGAAACGTTAGAGTTTCAGAACAGTGGATAATCTTGCATATATACAGTAACTCCTCACTTAACGTTGTAGTTATGTTCCTGAAAAATGCGACTTTATGCAAAACGATGTTAAGCGAATCCAATTTCCCCATAAGAATTAATGTAAATGAGGGGGTTAGGTTCCAGGGAAATTTTTTTCAACAGACAAAAGACTATATTATATATTGTGTGTGTGTGTGTGTATACATATACATACACACACAATATAAGTTTTAAACAAACAATTTAATACTGATACACAGTGATAATGATTGTGAAGCTTGGTTGAGGTGGAGGAGTCAGAGGGTGGGATATTTCCCTTACTGCTAAATGATGAACTGGCAATTGGCTGAGCCCTCAAGGGTTAACTCTCTACACAAGGCAGCAGGAATGGAGGGAGATATGCGCATTTCCCTTAAGTATACTGCCTTGTTAATTAGATCAGCTTGCTGACAGGCAGAGTCCTGGTCTGTCCCCCCTGCTCTATGGAGGATGGGGTAAGTGAGGTGCAGGGGGGGAAGGAGACACCCTGACATTAGCCCCCCTCTTCCTTCCCTCCCCCCCCTCCCCCCCCGCACAGCAAGTGTCTCCGGGAGACAATGACCATAAAATACTAACTGCAACATATTAACACATGCACTATTCATAAAATTTGTATTGTAAAGGAGTTAGTTTATGACCAAATGGTGCAAGTCCCTGCAACATTCAAAATTCTAGAATTTTTTTCCAGATAAACCAGGCCAAAGTATCTGAAACTGTAGAACACTTCCTTAGTGAAGTATGTTCATTTAAAATAACAATTGAACTATGAGCTTGTATGCCAGATTTTAATACAGTTCAATCAAAGCATTTATTAAACAGGTGGTATAAGGCAATATAATAGAGTGTACAATAATGTCTATTAGGAAAGCTTACCATTTAACTTTGATGAGTAACAATTTTTTTCTTTGATTTTGTTATTTAGTCCAGCTGCTTTAAGGGATATTTACAGAACACCACAAAGAAATAATATTCCTGGTGAGTATCTGTGCTCCTTCTCTTACTAACAAGAATATTTATCTCTAAAGATCGTTGGATGACTTAATTAAATGTTCTTATTTCTAAAAAAATTTCAGTGCGATGTGGACGCTTGTTTTGCACACCTAAACTTTTGGAGGTAAGCATTTTATTTCCAGGTTTAGAGTCATAGACTTTACGGCCAGAAAGGGACCATTAGATCATCTAATCTGACCTTCTGTATATTACAGACCATTAAATTCCAGGCAGATGCCCTATGTTGATCCCAATGACTTTAGCTAGACTAAAAGAATCCAAACTGTTGTGTGCCACAGGCATAAAACAGAAGATACTGAGGTACTATCAATGCCTGAACCTCTTTCAATGGCATTGAATTAATTAGGTGAGACATGCCCAGATGATCTTAGCTGGCCATCCGTGCCCCATGCTTCAGAGGAAGATGAAAAAAACCTAAGGTCCCTGCTAATCCAAAGTGGGGAAAAATTCTTTCCTGATCCCAGAGCTGGCAATCGGTACGACCCTGAGCATGTGAGCAAGACGCACCAGCCAGGCATCTAAGCAAGAGTGTTGTTTTAAAATATACTTTAAAAATTATTTGATGTATTTCTAGGTTACGACACCAAAATGTATTTCTGAAGGCCTGGGAGCAGAAGTGGATCCAGATATGTCTTGGTCAAGTTCTTTAGCCACACCCCCTACACTTAGTGCAACAGTGATAATCGGTAACACTAAAAATGTGTGGTATTTCAAGGTTAACATATTTGGCTTAAATGTTCTTATAATCCCAGGAACACGTGACTGAAGAGTGAACTGGATGTTTATATGGTATTTATATGACCACTTTGTCTTTACTGTAAAGTGGTGTCCGTAATTGAGCAGTAGCAGTTGGTTTTCAACAACATCATCCTGAAAGGAAAACGTGAACCTGAACTGTGTTGTTGCTCTTTGAAAGGCTAGTTCCTTTATATCAGGGCTCAGGGCATATAATAATAGCATCCTAGCTGACAGAATAACATAGCAACATTTATAGGAACAAAGATTAATATGTTACATTGATTGCCTGCATCCATACCATCTCAAACTGTGATTTTTATAAGGTCAACCTAAACTATGTCAGACTGGGTCGGCACTTAGATGTAATATTTCTAGGAGAAATAAGATTCAGTAGTAAGTGGTATTGGTTATTCAATAGGTTTAATTTGCCTCATAAATTCAGTATTGAAAAAATGTGCCCACAGTGGGTTGATGGGCACTGGGCTGCTGGGACGTGGTCTTTCAGATTAAATACAAAATCAAACAGCTGCAATGTTTGATCTCAAATGTGTTTGTGTGTCATTGTTGGATGAACTAATATACTTAGTTTGTATAATCAGTTTATAAAATACTCTGATATATCTGGATGAAGCACACTATATAGGTATAAATATTGTTTCAGATATCAATATCTAAAACAATCACGCTAAATTGTGGCAGCCTTTGTGATGTGGGTAGATGTCAACTCTGGGATTAGGTTGAGACCATCACATTTATTTCATTTGTGTCTGTTTCTAGAGGTGAAAGATTAGCGTGTTATCCAGATGGTCTTTCAACTTTTTCATAATTGTTTTGAAAATATGTTTACAGGTGATTTTCATAGAGCCATTCAGAATCCACATGTATTGGTCAATTTAAGAATGATGCGTAAAGTGTTTAATGGCTTGGTTTCTAGTACAGAAATAACAATGCAAAAGAAAAACAGGTTTATCAAGCAATACCTTCTTGCTAGACATAAAAACAAATAGTTACTGCAATCCATCATCCTCATACTATTTTACTGTGATTATTACAAATATCCTGTGTATTCCAAATATACAGTGAAATCTTGACCCCCACTCTTGCCCCTGTATGTCATCCATAGGGGTTGGAATGGTGCAGTGGGTCTCTAAAAGCTCTTCATAATACCTGGGGGGAGTTCCTCCGAGGGCAGAAACTATGTAAGACAGCAATAAGGCTGTTTTCAGAGGACCCCTTTGAAAACCTTAGCATTAGGGGCATGTTGGGAGCAGAGTGCAGTCCAAGGAGACTGCTGTAACTTAAACAGCCCCTCAGAACACTTAAAAGCACAGGACAGAATCTCACCCATAAGCTTTTTAAATGACTGGTCCACAGATTTGAACTGTTTAAGTACTAGACAGAAATAAATATTTTACACATTTGAGAGCAGTTTATTAGCCACATAAGTACAAGTGAATTGAATTATTTTTGAATTTCAGCTAGAGGAAATGATTCAATTTCTGGAGCAAAGCAACATGATGAGAGAATTACTATGGTGAGTAAATTTAAGCAGGAAATACTGAATCTATTTTTTTAAATTTATAGTTATGTATTTATGTATAGCTGTGTATTTAATATTCCTTGAGCCAAAAAAAATGAAATATTTTCATTTCCTCTTCTCTTCATTCTGGTATCTCCAGTATGATTTAAAACAAGTTACATTTTAATTCTTAGTGTTTTGCAAAATTTAGTATGTAAAACCAAGCTATAATTTCATGTAATGTGTTTAGTATTTTCTGTGTTTTGAACTGATGCAAACTCCACTTGTTACTATACATAAACTATATACACATTAGCATTATTAAAACTTGTACAAATCATAAGTATTAGTAAATCCTAGTGAGCATTTAATATTATATAATTGTTTGACTCTTGGGCTTACAGGTCTTGCACAACTTTTTCTCCAGTCATGGTAAAAGGCCTGAGAAGAATGATATAAATGTACTATCCATACCAGAGACAGTAAACTTAAATACAGAAATTGATGTCAAAGACCATGGTAAGCACTGATACTTTAATATTGTTAGTTCCTTATTGGGTTTACTGTTTCTTAGCCTCAAATATTAAGCTACCTTCACTAAAAGAAATATATGCAAGAAAAACTTTCAGGGTAGTTGACTGTTGTTCAGTGATACAGAACTCATATACCTTAGAGAGAAGACTGACATGTGTTGTGAGGTCAGGAAATGCAATCATCAATGTTCAGAATTTTAGCTAGGATACAAAAGACTGTAGTAGCAGTTATTTTCCCATTCATACTCTATTAAAGTAAATATATTAAGGGCTTTTGGTAAAATTTTCAAAAGTGTCTAAGCTCCATTGACTTTCAATGAAATGGCTTTTAAGTGCCATTTTCAAAAGTGACTTAAGTACTTAGGAGCCTGTCTGAAAGTCAGTACGACTTAAACTCCTAAGTCATTTGGTAATGTCTACACTCCACCTGGGAGCAAGCCTCCCAGGCCAGGAAGACAGACTCATGCTAGCAGAGCTCAGGCTAGCGGGCTAAATATAGCAGTGTTAATGTTTTGGTTCGGGTTGCATCTTGGGCTCACAAGACCACCCAACCATCTAAGTCTTTCTTCAAGTGATGGTCCCTATTGTGGGTTCGCATGCGCACCAGGCGCCCAGAGTCAGAGAATTCTGGAAGTAGTGTATTTTGGTCCGCACATGCGCCCTGGCCTGCCTCATGCTTCCAGCCAAGGCCATAAAGGCCGGGGCGAACTGACTGCCTCTTCAGTTCTTTCTCAGCACCGCATGATCTGGGTCGGAACTTTAGTGTCCTCATCTCTGACCTTGTTCTAACTAAATAATTATAACTATTAATTCTTAAATGATTTGTAGATTAGTAGTTTTACCAGATTTAATAGTTTTAGAATACTATATAAAGGCCCGAGGGAATAGTCTGGTGCATAGGCACTGACTCCATGGGTGCTCCGAGGCTGGAGCATCCACGGGAAAAAAAATAGTGGGTGATCAGCCTCCCCTATTAGCTCCTCCCTCAGCTCCTTGCCTGCTGGTGGGCCCCGCCGATCAGCTCCTCTTCTCCCCTCCCCCCCCCCAGTACCTCCGGCCCACTCCAGGGAGGGGGCGGAGCAAGGGTGGGAATTGGCGGGGTGGGAGCTTAGGGGAAGGGGTATAGTGGTGGTGGGCCTGGGACAGGGTGGGGGTTGAGCATCTCCCAGCAACTCAGAAAGATTTGAGTCACCATGCTAGAAACTGGCTTAGGGGAAACAAATGAGAGCGAGAGAAAGAGCTGCATTTCACTGCTGGAGCAGAGAGAGAGACACCTTAAATTGACATAGAAAGAAGGGGGTGTGGCTAAACCAGAAAACAAGATGGTAGTTTAATCCACCTGTTTACAATAAAGGGAGAATAAATTAAAGCAATTTAAGAAGATAAAAAGAACTAAGCCAACCTGAATCCACAGATCTGTGCGCTAAATATGCAAATAAGAAAAAGAAGGCTAAAGGGAACTGGCAGATCCCAGTCCTAAAGAGCAGGCTCTGGAAGAGAAAATCCAGCAACAGAATTCACTGCCATTAGGCTGCAAAACATACTAAAATTACTCTTTAAGCTTGGAGATGTTGATCTGGACCCTCATTATGCTGTAAAGGTACAGGCAGGGGATGAGTGCAATGAGAGTTTTATTGTGGCTGGGGGAGGAAGTATGGCAGCAGCCATTTTGAGAGAGTCACAACAAGCAAGGATGGAAGACAAGAAGATTTAGATGTCTGGGAAAGGAAGGAAATCCTCCAATACAAAGATCTGTTCCACCCCTTCTCCCAAATGAAGACATGGCTGTGGAAGAGAGTAACTGCCACTCCAGCAAACACACTATGGATGTGGGTAGAGAAGCAGCAGTCATTGAGTTTGACCTGAAGGCCCTGCATGTAGAAATCAAAAAGATTAATAAGGAGATGAGGGAAAAAGTCCAGTCATACAATAGATACAAAACATTAAATTAATGAGATTAATGGGAAATATCAGATGTGGAAACAGGATTAAATGAGCAATCAGACATCATTACTAATCTAGAGGAAAGAATCCAAATAATTGCAAAAGGAGAAAAAGAAATAAAAATATAGTTGGAGGACATGGAAATTAGAGAACACAGGAATAACATAAGGATTAAAGGTGTTCAAGAGGAGACTGAAGGGACAAATCTGCTGGCCATGTTAGGTGATGTTTTCCATGCCACATTTTAATGTGGCAATAAAGATGGCATTCATACTGAGAAGGCTCACAGATCCCTTTTCCCCAGGCCCTCAGCAGGCTCCAGACCAAGAGAAATGATTATCCATCTATACTACTATCAAGACAAGGATAAAATACTGAGGGCAATGAGAGAGAGAGCTGAACTGCTGACAACTCTTAAGCAGTCCATACAAATTTTCCCAGATCTGGCAGCCTCAGCCCTTAGATAGTGAAGAGAACTATACCAGGTGACCACAGTTCTTAGAACAAAATAAGGTACAAATGGGGGTCCCCATTTAGACTGTCTTTTAAATGAAAGGACAGATATGCCTATCTCAAATCCAAAAGAAGAGAAATGGGTACTGTTAGACATGGGAATAGGTGAATCTGCTCAAGACAAATCTGAATGGGCTCAAAGGCATCAGTCCTACAGTTTACCAAGAAATTACTGGGAATCAGTGAGATCAAAGAGAGCCAGAACAGCTCAGAAAGATGCAATATCAGGACTAGAGGACAGACATGAGAGCAGACGAAACAGTCCAAATCCAGAAGAATAAGATTAGTATCTGGGCTATGACATTACAGTAAATAATGGATATGATATCCATGTGGTTATAATGATAAAGGAATATAGATAAATGGAAGCTGGGCTGTACAGCATCCAGGCTATTTTATGCTATATGGCTACCGAATACTTAATGGGCATAACACTTAATATTGTGATTTATACTATAAACAAAGTTAATAACGAAATAGCAAGAGACCCAGATCTCCCCTACTGAAGTAAGTTTGACTTTTAGAGTTCACAAACATTTTAAAATGTTATATTAATTGGAAAAGGAACACCTATGGTGGAAAATGTTAAGAATATGTGAACTCAAAGATGGTATAATTTTCTCATAATGCCCAGTGTTATAAAGAAATTAGATGGGATTAAATAAGGCTTGGTTCTTAAAAATATATATATTAAAAAACCCACCCTCCAGCAGGGAGCTGACATGCCCATGGAGTAAGTAAGGAGAGCCCAGGCTCCACAGCTAGAGGGGACCAGGGGACAATGGGGGAATGCATAGGGAGGGATACAGGGGAAATGGGATAAGAGAATAGAAACAGATGTTAAATGTAGTTATGTTCTAATCAAAAAAATTATATTAATTAAAAACAATATGCCTCGGAATTTAAAAATATATGGTAAATCAGATTTAGGGTACAACAATATAGGTGTTAAAAGGAAACACAATATATGTGGGAGTTCTAAAATTACTGTGTGTATGATGGGAACTCTATCTAAAATGTCTTCTTTAAAGAAAAGGCACAAATGTACTGGAGACCTTGCATCTCACTGCTTTTAGCAATGGGTAATGTACTGGGCAAGATAAGACTTCATACACATGGTTGAGCTTATTGATTACATGACCGTTAATGTTAACGGGGTGAACAGCTCATCAAAAGGAAAAGGGCATTTTGCTCACTGAACTATGAGTTATGATGAAACAATAAAAAGGAAGTGTTTAGCAAAAAGTATTGCCACCCTTCTTCTATTAAATTGCCCTGGAGAGAGAGATGCTGGCTGTATTCAGGTATTTATCATGTTTCTTCAAGAGTGTTTCCTGTAAGTAGATAATTCTTTATACAGAAGACTGATACATTTTATTTAAGGAGTCCTTGAAAGGTAAACTTCTCACTTTAGCCAATGTGTAAGCTCCCAATCAAGGGCAAGCTGTTGCTGCTCCTGTTTTTTTTTTTTTTTTTAGTCAGTTTTTTTAAGCACTTAGGAAATTTTAGAGAAGGAGATATTATTCTAGGAGGGGATTTTTACAAGGTGCTTAATCCCTGCAGGAGTTCATAAAGGAGAAAGCACAAGCGCAGCAGCAACTGATATGGGGTCTGGTGAGTCCCACAACCAAGAACAGCAGTAAGACATAGGGGGTGAGCCTGTGTCAGATGGATCCTGGAGATGACCCTCGTGTGTTTTTATCAACCTTAAAGAGAGTAGCAACGGGAGCCAGATGGGATAAAGGAACATGAACCTGCCAAGTGGCACCCTACTTGTCCAGAGAAGCCCAGGCAGCCTATATGACCCTGAGTGAGGAGCAAGCCCGGGACTATGATAGAGTAAAGGTGGCCATCCTGGGCAGGGTTGGCCTTTAGGGTGAAAAATATAAACAGAAATATTGGGCTGCTAGATGGACTAGAGGTGTGTAACCCCAGGCATGCGCGCAAAAATTAACAAATTGGGCAACCCATTGTCTACGACCAGACACCCAAGTGTGGGGCAATAATAGACATAATACTGGAGCAATTTCTCCAGTGCCTCCCTGAAAGCACACATGTATGGGTCCAGAGGCACCAGCCAACGACCCTGGAGGAAGCGGTAAAGCTGGCAGAGGAGTTTGTGGGTGCAGATTTTCCTAAGAAAGAATTCCATATGTTTCAGGGATAGGACTCAGGGAAGAAGGGCGGCAATTTGGCCACATCCTGGATGATTGAAAAGGAAAAAGGAGGAGATGAGGGGGACTTCTTTGGGGAACTAGGGAGTGGTTTGCTACCAGTGTGGGCAACCAGGGCATACAACGCTGGATGGCGCAGTTATGAAATGTGGGTTTGCCAAGTTTTGTGGGTGGACTCAATCTACACAGGCAGAAAGAGAAAATGCCTAGCATCCCTGTAAAAGTCGGGAGGATGCGCCGGAGGGGACTGGTGGACACGGCCTCAGGATGCACACTGGTCCAGAGGGGTTTGGTGAAGCCTTGTTTGATACTACTGGATGGCAGCCTGAAACTAGAATGTATCCACTGCAAGAAG